TCTGCTCACACCCAGCTGCCGCTGCCCGCTGCTCCTTCAGCGCTGCTCTGAGTTTCTCTGCGCTGAAGCCCCGCCCTGCCCTGCCCTGCTGGGACGTCCTGCAGTTCCAACTCCTGCCGAAAAATTGCCTGATACATCTCGTCCACCAGCCCAACATCTTTTGTTCATTCCTGCTGCTCCAGCTTAATGTTTTTCAGTCTCAGAGTCCTGCAGGGGTACTGGGATCAACTGCCCCAGGGCTTTGAGAAGCAAATCGTCTCCTCCAACCTTTCCCAGCTAGGCCAAAAATGCTGTCATGGGCTCCTGGTTCTGTTTGTTATTAATTCCACAGTTGTTGTTTTCTTGCCTTGTTATACATACCAGTAAGAAACTGTTATTCCTATCTCATATCTTCGATTAAAACCCCCTTAATTTCAAAATTATAATAATTCAGAGAGAGGGGATTTACATTCTCCAATCCTAGGGAGAGTCCTGCCTTCCCTAGCAAACACATGTCTTTCAAACTGAAAGAAGTTTTGGTGTCCAACATTGGGCCCGACGGCATCGAGAGAAAGGGGTGAAAAAAGAACAGTTCTTGAGCAACCTAATTTTTTGTGTGTGCTGAATTCAGAAACTTCACTGGGTGGCACCATGTGGTCGAGCTTACCCTAGTTTGGGTGGCACATAGTCATGGCTATATTTCTCCCATTTGCAGCCCCTTATCTAAACATGGCTCCTATTGAATCATTAAAACAGATATGTTCATGGACAATGACTCTCTAACTAGTTAAAGTTACAAACTGGTATGTTTATTGAGACACTGGTGGGTTGCACGAGACGTGGCAGCCCCATACAAGGTTCCTTGCCCTCTATTTCCCAAAGTCTTACATTCCATACATATGCATAACCCCAGTACCTCACATCCCCATTCTGTATTAAAATGAGGCTGTTAGTCCTTCTGGCGTGTGCAATTCTTCTCTTGAATTGGGTCGGTGGTCTTGAATTGGGTCAGTGGTCTTGAAGGATGAAGTAAGGAATGTCTTCATCAGGTCTCCGTGACCTTCTGGCACAATCCAATGTCCCCTGATTCGTGATTGATTAGTATAAAGTCCAGCTGCTAGTTGGATTCAATCTGTTCTTATAACGGTTCACTCACTCTATCTCTTTATATAAACAAAACTGAAACAAGCTCAAAATGGCAAACAATATGTCTATTAGCTCTAGCTTAAGCATCTAATTATCATTAACTTATCATTTGTTTAACTAACTTACACCTTTACCAATACAAATTGCTTCTAACCCTTCGCTAAAATCTTAACCCTAAAATCATGATTCAGTGGAAAAGAGGAACTGGGACACCGGGAAGAAGGGTCCCATGGCGGCCATGAGGCACTGAGGGTGCAGAGTCCGGGTTGACCCGGAGCTCTTGGCTACTGTGGGCTGTTGGGGGGGCACCCCGGGACCTGTGTCCTGCACACACAGCGCTGTTCCAGGAGATGGTTCAGTCCGAGTGTCACTTCATTCACGGCACCGACCGGCTGAGGTTCGTGGAGAGGAACATCTCCAAGCGGGAGCAGTTCCTGCACTTGGGCAGCGATGTGGGGCTGCACGTGGGGACACCTCCTTTGGGGACAAGGCTGCCAGGCACTGGAACAGCGACCCGCAATGGATGGAGTACAGACGGGCTGCGGTGGACAGGCACTGCCGGCACAACTACGAGTTGTCCAGCCCGTTCCTCGTGGAGCGCAGAGGTGAGCGTGGGGCAGAGCGTGTCCCCTCGGGCCCTGCCCTGGGAATGACCCTGGAGCCCCTCTAAACCTCCGAGACACGTCAGCTCTTGTTGTGCTCATCCCCGGGGCTTCCTGCCCCCTCACCCCAAGTGACTCCGGTTGCTCTCCCAGTCCATCCCAGTCTGTCCCGGCGTCCTCATGGTCCTTCCCAGTGTCATCAGAGTCCCTCCAAATTCCTCTCAGTCCACAGCCATTCCATTCCCTGTCCACTCCCAGTATTTCTAATTCCAATCCCAGACCTCCACTCTTTCTCCCAGTGCCCTTCCAGTCTGTTCCAAGTCCTTTTCAGTCCAATTCCAGACCGCTACCCTCTCTCCCATTACCCCAATCCACTCCACTCTCTCCCAGTGTTCCCCCATTCTCTCCAATTTCATTTCAAGTTATTCAAAGTGCCACACCAGCCCTCCCAGTTCCCACCAGTTTACTCCAGTGTGTCTCCACTCTCCCAACATCTCCCTGTTTGTCCATCTCACTGCGGCCCTCGAGCTCCAAGCCCGGCCCCGACTGCCTGCTCTGCTCCCTGACGGATTTCTACCCTGCCGACATCCAGCTGAGCTGGTTCCAGGGCCAGCAGGAGCTCTCGGGCCACGTGGTGACCACCGACCTGGTCCCCAGTGGGGACTGGATTTCTATCAGCTCCTGGTGCTGCTGGAAACCGCCCCCGGCACGGGGTCAGCTCCAGCTGCAGGTGGAGCACGTCAGCCTGGAGCACCCCCTGAGCCGGCACTGGGGCGCGGCCTGGACCCCACAGTGTGGGGGAATGGGGGAGGAACTGGGAGAGCTGGAAGAAGGATTACTGTGTGCTAGGAGTAACTGGGGGAGAGTTTCAGACAGTCTACTTTAAACTGGTAGTACGGCTCAGGGGTTTAGAAGGTCTGAGAAGGAGTTTGAAGAATGCTGGGGAGGGTGGAAGGGGGTTCTAGGGGTCCTGGTGGGCACTAGGAGGGAGTTTGGGGGTACTGGGTGTAACTGCGAGGAATTTGAGTGAGTCTCGAGGGGTTGGAAAAAGATCAGGGTTTGGAAAGCAGGAATTGGAATGAGGTTGGTTGTCATGGGAAGTGACTGGGAGGGTCTAGGTGAACCCTGGTGGGACTGGGAAGGGACTGGGAGAAGGTTTGGGGGTTCTTGGGCAGTGGGGGGCAATTGGGAGGGGGCTGTGGGATCCTGAGAAGGACATGAGGTGCTATGGTGGGTCCTGGGGAGGCTGGGAAGAGATTAGGAGGAGGTTTCAGGGGGTCCTGGGTGGGGACGATTGGGAAGGTGCTTGTAGGGGCATGGGGTGTCTGAAAGGTTTTGGGGGGTCCTGACCACTCTGGACACCCAGAGATGTCGCCAAACGCCGCCCGCAGCAAGGTGCCAATGTGGATCGAGGGTTCCGTGTAGGGCATCGCCTTCCTGGCCCTGGGGCTCAGCTTCTACCTGCGAAAGAAAGTGAGGGGGGGTCCTAGGTAGTCGTGTGCCCCCTATCCTGGAGCGTGTGAGCTCCCCCTGGGGCCCCCACCCAGGGTCACCCACTCTTCTCTGCCCATAGAGCTCCTGAGCCAGCAGCAGTGGCCTTCAACCAGCTGGGACCCTCAGATCCATGCACCCCCTGATTTTGGGGGCACCGTGTGAACCCCCAGCCCAGCTGCTCCCAGTGCTCCCAATAAAGCTTCCCAGTTCGCCCCGGTCCCTTTTACTTGGGGGCGGGACTGGGGAGGGACTCGGGGGGACCCCGCGGGGGGATCGTGATTGGGGGGGATGGCGGGGTCCAGGTGGGGAACACTGAGTGCTGCGGGTCTGCCCGGCAACCGGTGAGTCATCACAGCTGCTCTCTCTCATTGGCTGAATCTTCTTCATCGCATTCTCTGATTGGCTGAGGAGAGGCCCGGGAGTTGAGAGAAGGAACGGGAGAGATCCCACCCCGAACACCTGCATGGGAACAACAGACCCAGCCTGGGCACGGCGAGGGAATTTATTACCAACCAAATCACAGCAGCACAAGGAGAAGGGAGAGAAATCTCTCCAACCCCTTCCCCCACCCAACGGAGATCACCGGGACCACGGATCATCAGGGCTCTGCTCAGCGGGGGTCACTGGGGATCATCCAACACCGATCCTCCCATGGGGGATGGAGCTGGAACAGAGCACGAAGCTCTTCCCACACTCGGGGCACTCACAGGGCTTCCCTTAGTGGTGACTCCGTTGGTGTCCGGTCAAGGCAGAGCTCTGTGAGAAGCTCTTCCCACACTCAGGACACTCGTAGGGCCTCTCCCCGGTGTGGATGCGCCGGTGGACAGTGAGGGTGTCGTTGCGGTTGAAGCCCTTCCCGCAGTCGGGGCAGCGAAAGGGCCTCTCCTCTGTGTGAATCCGCTCATGTAGGAGGAGATTGGAGCTGGTCTGAAACCTCTTCCCACACTGGGGACACTCGTAGGGCCTTTCCCCAGCGTGGAAGCACTGGTGGTATCTCAGGTTGGAGCTCCACCCAAAGCTCTTCCCACATTCCAAGCAGGTGTAGGGCCGTTCCCCTGTGTGGATCACCTGGTGCTGCATCAGATTAGAAATAGTGCTGAAGCTCTTCCTGCATTTCCCACACTCATAGGGCTTCTCTCCATTGTGAATCCTCTGATGCGGCATCAGCTGGGAGCTCAGGCTGAAACCCTGCCCACATTCCAAGCACTTGTGGGGCTTCTCCACCAGCTCTGAGCTCCGCCTGGATCTCCAGACGCCTTCCCGGATCAGGGAGGGTATTTCCTCCTCGCAGCTCCCTGGGATGGGTTTGCAGCCCCTCCTCGAGAGGGATCTCTGGGGCTTTTC